TCTCCGCGATTGATCGCGCGGGCGTAATAAAAATTTCTTGATTACACTTTGACAATCCCCTCTGAATAGAGGGCGAATTCTTTCGGGAGACGGCTGTAAATCTCGCCGGAGCTCGGCTCGTCGAGGAAAGGTGCTCGAGATTTGTACAGGAGAGGTCGACCCACGGAGCTTCTCCTCGCTCTGATTGGATTCCCTTGGGATATACTTCGTGGGGCAGTCTTTTCTAGCCGGTCGTTGCCGAGCTTCGACCGTGGGTTGGGGGGCGCTGCCGGGAACGACGAGAGCCGGTGCTGTTTTGGTACGTCGAATGGATGAGACCCGAACCTTGGCTCCATTGTTCCCAATGTCAAAGCGACTTATAGCGGTCGGTTTTTCTCGGTCTCTTTCGGACGGAGTTCACCTGGTAATTAAGTCCCGCAGACCCCGTCGAAGTTTCCGTCGCGATAAAGACGGCTGACAACGCTATGGCCCCCCTTATCATAATTAGTTCTCGAGACGGTCCGCTTCTGCGCCGCGTTAAACGACGCCGACCAAAACACCGACGGGGCCATTGTTGTTTCGTTTTCTCGGCGATTAACTTTGATCCCTACTCGTTTTGTTGCCGATGTTGGACGCCCCTACGGCGGGAAGTGCCCTTTGTCACGGGAGAGCAAGTTTTCCTCTTGGACGAAGGATCATCGAAAATGGAATTTCCAGACAAGTTATGGTTCTGCGACCATGCTCGACGTGGGAAGTTACGAGGAGCTGCGCACCCGGCCCTTTCAACGAAATTTCTCAGCCCTTTTCACTCCCGATCGAGATATCTAACGTTATAGTTGTCTCCTATCGAAAAGCTTCCACGAACGACAGCAATATTTGTAAATTCATCCGAATTTAGACAACTTAAGGGGGGAACCTCATGTAAATGATCTGTTTTTCAAGAATTTTTTTTGAAAAATGTAATCCGTAGATTCATTTAAAATTTGAAGTATCATTTATTAACGTTATAATGGAAAGAAAAATATTTTTTATAAATTTTAATTGTTAATAACAATGGTGCAATGATGTAAATTCGCCGTGCAGTGTACAATGCACAAAAATGATTTGAAAAAAAAATATCAAAATGGAATAGTTAGTTTATGCGAAAATGCTCAGCGTGACATACTTCTTTTATTAAAATTTTCAAAATTGCAAAAATGGCGAAGGTTTCAAGAAAAGCCGGATTTTTGGTTATGAACAATTGTTAATAACAATGTTTTAAATAAAAAATAAAGAAATCGGAGCTCGTCATGCTGAGACCAATTATTTATAGCCAAGTTTCATAAAGATCGAGTAATCAGAAAAATCGTGAAAAAATCGTGAAAAAATCGTAATTCATTTTAACTTGCTGCGGTTTTTTGTTAATCTGCAATTCCAAGACCATAGAACAGATCTTCCTATTCTCAAAAAGTTGTAATTCAGCCATTTTATCTTCTTCTCGAGAAACACGAGCCTCTTTTGCGCAATGAAGACTGCGACGCTCCTACTGTTTAATACGGCGTTTGTCCTCATTTTCGGCGAATCTTTTGCTCTGCTGTCCAATTACTATGGCAAGCTGTTGCATTGTTTGAAGGACGAACGAAAATCCTTCGTTAAATATGCCGGCAGCCAAAAAAGCAGCTATCTCAATAGTTTTAAGGCCACAATTAAGATATTTGGGAACTAAACGCCAAACGATGGCGTTAAGTTAAAATTGATATACATTGTAACTATAATAAATGACTTATCACGTGGAGAAAGAATACATTGATTTTAAGCGTAAACAATTAAGACATAAAAACATAAATCTATGTATAGAATATTTCTGAGCCCTGTTTGAACTTTTAAGCCCGGGATTATGGTACGATCGCCTGGCGCGCGCATTTTTCATTGTTTTCCACCGTCTAATTGTAGCAGGGATTAATGCTCAAGAAGTTGCTTTATTGGCATAGTATTTCTGCACATCTGGCGATCACGTGCACCTGTAGCGTTCTATTGCCTCGCTTGTCTATAGGAATTGACATGTCGTAAACTTTTAATTACGTTTTGTCCAGTGGTACCTAGAGCCCAAACACCTGTGCCCTCGACATCGCGTTCGACTATCCCCCGTACACGACTAGTTGAGTGTGAATTTGCCAATCAAATCACCACCCACTATAAACTATTGTATATTAAAAGATCACCGGAACAGGAGAAGTTTTAAATTTTTGAAAATCTAATGAACCGTGTGAACTTCACAAATCAGAACATTGGACTCTGTAGTTATTTGTATATTTTTGTATGATATAGGTTTTTTAAATGAATTATAAGTGTGTTCGCAAATAAGTGGTTTCTATTTGATAAATAAATCGGCTCCATAAATTCCGTGGGTGCTAACACGCTCCGCAACTTTCGATGGCGAAGACCGCGTTCGATGGAGGAGTGAAATTTCCATCGTTTCTTTTTTTTCTGACGAAAACACCCGTCGTTATAGCTACCCCTTATCATGCCTAGTTGGCGTCGGATTCCCCGAGGAACACCGTGACTTACGGGCTGTATCATCCACTCGATCTTGATAGTCCAACTGTGATATACAGGTGTATGTTAAGTGCCACAACAATAATTTCTGGGGAATACACGGAATAATGTGACTAACCAGTTGTTTCGTATCCTCGCCGACCGTCGACATCTATCTTCAAGGAAGTCGCATGCAATTACCGTGTCTACGTGTAAACCGGGTCTATTTCGGTCCACCGATCGTAAGTACAATGTACATTGGGATAACGCCTTCTTACATGGAAAGTTACTCGACGCTATTCATACTAACAATGTTCAATTATCCTTCAAGTTATTATCATCGAGGTGCCCATTGCAGCCTATCGCGTTCCTATACAGTACACTGGACACGAAGGATAAGAGATTATCTTATCTCGAAGCATGCTCCTTCGTTCTAACCTTCTAATCGTATCTTAAATACAGACTTTACTGAAAGAGTGTTTGCTTAAGTTCGAAGTTACATTGGTAGGAACGATGTCAAATTGTCTTCCAAGTTATCATAACAAACGTGTCGATTTCAGTCTATTGCCTTCGTATTACAGTGGAGTGAACACGGATCTTCCATCTTGCCTCATTGATCGTTTACTGGACAAGTAGAGTACGAATTAAAATATTAAACTCATTTGTACAGTAACATTTGCCCCCCAGGCTTCGTTCAGTTTGATATCAGCTTGAAAGATTTGTTAATGAAATTTTACTGCAACACAAACGAAAGGCAGTTTACTTTAATTAATTGAAAATTTGTATTCGTTACTCGTAATTAAAGTTTGCCTGTCTCTGATAGGTGTAGTGTAACCTGGAAAAATGTTTCGTTAAGTTGTTGTCCAATTGTTTCAAAAGTTAGAATCACCAAGGTGTGCAAGCTTATAGTATCTCTGTTTTACTGTTTCGAAGCAAATTATTTTAAAAGAATCTAATTTGCAGTGTGCCCCTTCAAATTAAAAAATACTCAACATTATTATTAGAAACTGTGTTGAATCCTCCGTACTGTGATAAATAGAGCGTCCATTACAGCCTGTCCTGATTACAGTCTATCTATAGAACCCCTACTACAATCATGTAATGATTTATAGGGCGAGCATTGTGTATCGAAGTAAACTATGCTGTTGACGCTATTCTAGACACGGTCTAAAAAGTGCAGTTTTAACGTTCAAATTCGTGAATATTGTTGCTAGCGCCGATATCCATTGTCCCCCGAAACTGTAATTACTGCACCGTCAATTGTAACCTATATCGTTCCTACTACTGTGGCCTGGACATGAATGATAAGGAATTATTGTATTTCGAAGCAATTTGTTTCCTTCTGTGATATTGATTATGTTTCGATTATGATTGATAGGAATGACGTTCAATCGTTGATCAAGTTGTAATTACTGAGATGTCCGTTGTCGCCTACAGTGTCCCTGTTATATTCGATGAGACATTTAACAGGCTGAGGATCATAGTAATTAAGTTCAAATTTAAAAAATTTATGGTAACGCTATTTTTCAAATTTTAAGTATGTAACAATAAATAAATATTTAAAAGTAATAAAAAAAGCTTCCTTTCTTAAAATCACCATTGTATTTGTAACCAAACGAAATTTGTAGGAACATAGTGATATAAGTTAATTGCATTTGATTAATTCGCTTCTAGATTGTACAAAATTCTTTTTTGTATTTCAATTCCCACACACAGACATTTTTTAACAGTTTTCCGAACCTGTGGACATGTACTTATAATTTGAATTCGTATATAAAATTTTTGAAACGATAAATACAAAACACCACGAGTGTGACTTACATATGATTCTCAACCCGCCATTTAATGAAACTATATCTGGATTTCAATCCATTGATCATGTCTTATTCATAATCCATATTCAGGAAGTTTTCCACTAAATTAAATGTTCTCAACAATATTAATTTAAACATTGAATTTCTATTGCAATCATTAGTACCTCTACTATGATCGACCAAAGATTTAGAGAAAGAGAATCCTGTATCAAAGTAAACTGTGTCACTTGGATGATGTCTTAGAGTCTAAATGTGAAAAGTGCTTCTTGCAGTTAGAAGTTACTCAACTTACTAATGATTATTACTGGAAACTGTACGAAATTCTCCTCTAAGTTCTAAGTGCTAAGATGCCCATTGCAGTCTGCAATACCCCTATTACGGATAACTGAAAATTGTGCAACGCATGCTATGTTACTTAGATCCTATACATTGCTTAAAGAAAATTCGTTCTCAACTTAAAAATTCGTGAACATTATTGGTAACACCAACGTCTAATTGTCTCGAGAATCTATTAGGTCGAGTCATAAGTAACTTCCGATGCAGCTAAGTAGAATCTATTTGTCGTATCTACCCGCTATGCGTTACCATGACAACAAGTTTTTGTTTTCACTATATAGACGAGGCTTCAGTTAGTCTTTTGTCAACTGTTTTCTGTGATACACGTTACGTTAAACTGTTTTTTTAACCTCTGAAATGGAGAGTGAAAAAGTACATATTCGTCATGTAATGCTTTGGGAATTTCAACAAGGCAATAGTGCTAAGACGACAGCTGAAAAAATATGCAGTGTATATGGTGAAGGACTAATAACTGATCGAGCAGTTGGAAATTGGTTTATAAAATTCCGTTCTGAAGATACGACCTTGAAAGACGAACCGAGGGCGGGACGTCCTTCCGACTTTGACGACAACCTTTTAAAGGCAATTTTGGAGCAAAATCCACGTAAATCAACAAGAGGTATAGCAGAAAGGTTGAATACATCACAATCAACTGTTAACCGCCACCTGGAGAAATTAGGGAAAGTCAGCAAGTTAGGAGTATGGGTACCTCACAATCTCAGTGAACGGAATAAAGAAGATCGCATGTCAATCGCCACAAGTCTGCTCTCACGAGTAAAAATTGAGCCCTTTTTGAACAGGAATGTAACAGGCGATGAAAAATGGGTTACCTATGACAATATAGTCCAAAAAGACAAAAGACAGTGGCTTGATAAGTGTGGGGGATGTCGGTACAGGAAAGGAGTGTAATGATGACTCAATCCACCCACTCTTTGATTGCGGGAGTACAAGTGTTTTTATTTAGATTTTGGTACAATGAAACGTGATTTAGAGAACCGCGTAGGTGAGGTGCGAAGCACGCGATGATGATCAAGTACAGACTGTCTTTTGCCCTCCGTCCTACCGGGGTTTTATACCCGGTCTAGGAAAAGGACAGAGCGTATCTCCGGCTCTCACAAAAACGACGCCGAATTTGGCGGGAACAATGTTTCGGCCGCGTGGCCAGCGTCGATGAGTTTCCTGGCCGCTGGAAAAACCCAGGCTTGCACCGGTGGTTGCCATGTGCGCCCATCGACCCTGACCGGGCCTGTACAAGCCCTTACAAAGGACACTAAAAATTACTGTTTTCGGCGGAGGCGTAGTGGCGACAAAGTCGCTACATCACCCCCCCGCTAGTATTTAACCTACATTACGAGAATCCCGCTTGATACCTGTCTGGGAATCGCACTCGCCTACCGGACCGCGTGGTACCAGGTGCTACGCTCGGCACTGGCACAGGTAGCAGCGAAGGTTGTATGATTATTACTGGACTTTGTGCTGCGCGCGGTGCTGTCTCGGTGATGGGAGGCGTCGAGATCCGCACGGGTATTACCTGCGGCTGGTCCGGTGGTGTCGCAATTTCTTCCTCTATCGTGTATGCTGGCTTAACTCTATTGATAGAAACTACACTATTCTTACTACCTATCTTAATTGTTACGACCTTATCTGATCTATCTACGACCTCGTATGGGCCATCGTACGGAGCCTGTAACATGGCTTTCGCCGAGTCTCGCCGCAGAAAAACGTGTGTACACTGAGCTAAGTCTTTAAATACGAAAATTCGCGAGTTGCCATGTCGCGATCCTGCAGTCGGTCCGATGTTTCGGAAATGGTGTCGCAACTCTTTAGCAAACACGGTGGTGCTGCGACTATTCGTTGATGGCGACAAAAATTCGCCTGGCAGGCGTAAAGGCTCGCCGTACACTAAATCTCCGGACGTTGTTTTTAAATCTTCCTTCCATGCTGCGCGTATGCCCAACAGGATGGTCGGAAGCACCTCTGTCCATCGATTGTTTTGGTGGCATCGGATCGCTGCCTTTAGTTGGCGGTGGAATCGTTCCACCATGCCATTGGCTGCTGGATGGTACGCCGTGGTGTGTAAGTGAGTCGAACCTATCAAGGAATTTACTTCCTTAAATAGGTACGACTCGAATTGTCGCCCTTGGTCTGTGGTCACGCGTACGGGGGCTCCGAAACGGCAAATCCAGCCTTCGTAAAAGGCCCTTGCGACGGTAGCGGCTTCTTGGTCGCGCAAGGGTATGGCCTCAGGCCATCGCGTAAAGCGGTCTACGCACGTTAGACAATACCGGTACCCTTCGGAAGCCGGTAAAACGACAATGTCCAGATGCACGTGCTCAAAACGTTCTGACGGGCGAGGAAACAATCCGAGCGGCGCGGATACATGCTTGCTTATCTTATTCCGCTGACACGGAATGCACGCGCGGGTCCATTCCCGACAATCGGCTTTTATTGACGGCCAGACGTAACGCTGTGTTACGCATTTGACCGTCGCGTTAATGCCTGGGTGCGCGAGCCCATGCAGTGCGTCGAACGCAGCCCGTCTAAAAGAGGCTGTGAGGAAGGGTCGCACGGAGTTTGTTGAAATGTCGCAATAGATTTTCGCGCTCGAACCGGGAACAGACATCTGTTTAAATGTCAGGCCTGATTCACCCTGCATCAAAGCTCGTAATTCGGGATCGAGCGACTGTGCAGTTGCCAGAGCTTCAAAATCTAATTTTTTTTCTATAGTCTCTATTCGCGACAGAGCATCCGCGACAACGTTGTCGCGGCCGGAAATGTGTTGTATATCTGTTGTAAATTCGCTGATGAAAGTTAGGTGTCTGATTTGTTTTGGTGTATGCTTGTTGGACTTACTAGAGAATGCAAAAATTAAGGGTTTATGGTCTGTGAAAATTACAAAATGTCTGCCTTCGAGAAGGTGGCGGAAATGCTTTATCGACCGATATATAGCTAATAATTCTCTGTCGAATGCGGAATAGTTTTGCTCTGACGGTGAAAGTTTTGCCGAAAAGAAAGAAAGTGGCTCCCAGTCACTACCGATGCGTTGATGCAGGGCGGCTCCGACCATAAAATTCGAGGCGTCGCAGGTAAGAGCGACGGGTGCGTTCTGTTTGGGGTGCGTTAACAAAGTTGCCTGCGACAGGTCTTCCTTACATTGGCGAAACGCGTCGCGGGCCTCAGGTGTCCATGCAATCGGTTGCTTTCCTTTAATGTTATTGACCAGGAGGTCATTCAATGGTGCCTGGGCCTGGGCCGCCCTGGGTATGAAACGTCGGTAGAAGTTTATCATACCCAGGAAACGGCGTAACTGTTTTGCAGTTACCGGTTCGGGAAAGTCTTTAATTGTTTTAATTTTTTTCGTACACGGGCTGGAGCCTTCCTTTGATACAATATACCCGAGGAATTTAACTTCGTGTTCCCCGAAAACGCATTTCCTAGAATTTACAACTATACTATATTGCTTAAGGCGATTAAATAAAATTTCTAGATGGCGTAAATGCTCCGATTCTGAACTGCTTGCGACTAAAATGTCATCGATGTATGCGTAACAAAAGTCTAGCCCCCGCAATACTTCGTCGATGAATCTCTGGAAGGTCTGAGCCGCGTTACGGAGACCGAAGGTCATGAATGGGAATTCGAATAACCCGAAGGGAGTCGTAATTGCCGTTTTCGGGATGTCTTCTATTGCTACCGGAATTTGGTTATATGCCCTGACTAAATCTATTGTAGAAAAAATTGTTTTTCCGCGCAACGACTGGGCAAAATCTTCGACGTGCCTAACCGGGTACCGGTCCGGAATCGTACGCGCGTTAAGAGCACGGTAATCACCGCACGGTCTCCACGAATTGCTCTCCTTTTTCGGAACAAGGTGTAGGGGTGAGGACCAACTACCGTCGGCCGGTCGCGCAATACCAAGACGTACCATATCCTCGAACTCCTTTTTCGCAATGATCAACCGATCCGGTGCAAGCCGCCGTGGTTTGCAAGCTACGGATGGTCCTGGGGTGGTTCTAACGTAATGGTAGGTACCGTGGTTGGTCTCGGTAGGCGTCCCGCTCGGCTTGGTGATCTCCGGGAAGCGTTGCAGCAGCTTGTGGAAAATGGATTCGCCTTGTACCTGCTTGATGCTGGGTGTGTTCTCCCGAACCGGTGCGCCTCCCGCTGTCAGCGTCGTGGTCTGGTCGATCAGCTGCTGATTCCGTACATCGACCAGAAGTCCGAAATGGGCGAGGAAATCCGCTCCGATGATCGGCCTGGAGACCTCGGCAATGATGAACCTCCACGTGAAGTCCCGACGGAGACCCAAATTTAGAGTCATTGTCTTGGTGCCGTATGTCGCGATCGGGGTGCCGTTCGCCGCGGAAAGCTCGTAGTCGGAGCTTGCACATGGTCCGCGGATTGATCTTCTCGGGAATACACAGAGGTCGGCTCCAGTGTCGACCAGAAATTGCGTACCCGAGCTCCGATCAAGGACGAAAAGACGGCGAAACGTCGGGCTGGAGTCGCTAGCCGCCATCAGCGATTGCCCTAATTGTTTCCCGCCGGCATGGTGTACGTACAGGGCGAGGCACAACGATGCGCCCTGGCTCCATACCTGGCGTGGTACCAGCACACCCCGCTGGCCGTTGGCGATCGGTCCCGTGAGTTAAACCGGCGCCTCGAAGCGCTGCGTCTCCGGTCGAAACGGCGGAAGGGTTGATGGTCCCTCCGCGAGGCGCGTAATTCCGCGATTTGGCCCTGCATTACCACGGTCTGGCTTTGCAACGTGATGAGTAGTTGCATCATTCGCTCCGTTACGGCGTCCACCGTGGCTGGTTGTGCTGGCGTGCTTGGAAACGTGGTTTCGGCTACGACGGGACGTCCAGACATGGTGTCTGTGACCGCGTCGGCCAATTCCGCGACCTTGTCCAGCGCCGTGTCTCTCTGCGTCGCCAGAATTGCCTGCACGTTTGCCGGTAAACGGCCCAGCCAAAGAGTCCGCAGCAGCGATTCGGACACAGACGTGCCCGCGAGGCCACGCAGGTGTCGTAGGAATTGTGACGGCTTGCGGTCACCGATTTCCTCGTGCTCCAGGAGCCGTCTCGCCTTCTGCTCCTGGGATACGCTCAGCCGGCGGATCAGCTCCCTCTTCAACGTATCGTATAGGCCAGTAGGCGGTGGATTCAGGAGTATATCGCGAACTTCGGCGATATATCGCGGACCTAGCGCACCCGTCACGTAGCTGGTCTTAATGCCGTCCGACGTCACGCCTCCTGCCGCGAAACTGCGTTCCAAAACGCAGAACCACAATTCTGGATCGTCCGCGGTAAAATCCGGCACACGGAAACTGATTCGTTCGAGCGCGGCTGTGGACGTAGCCACCATCGACGGACTCGCACTTTCGTTGCTCGTCGGCATTTTCACGCGCTAATGTAATTGTTTCTAAAAGTCACTAATATTAAACTTACACTAGCACCGGCACGCTCGAGTGTCACTGGAAAAAGTCACTAGTATTGTCACGTTAAAAATTTTCACTTCGCACCAAAAATGTTCACTCCCGCGTCGACGATCACGTCGGGGTCACCAGTTTGTGGGGGATGTCGGTACAGGAAAGGAGTGTAATGATGACTCAATCCACCCACTCTTTGATTGCGGGAGTACAAGTGTTTTTATTTAGATTTTGGTACAATGAAACGTGATTTAGAGAACCGCGTAGGTGAGGTGCGAAGCACGCGATGATGATCAAGTACAGACTGTCTTTTGCCCTCCGTCCTACCGGGGTTTTATACCCGGTCTAGGAAAAGGACAGAGCGTATCTCCGGCTCTCACAAAAACGACGCCGAATTTGGCGGGAACAATGTTTCGGCCGCGTGGCCAGCGTCGATGAGTTTCCTGGCCGCTGGAAAAACCCAGGCTTGCACCGGTGGTTG